TTCATAGTTGTCATTCAATTAGATCAGTTGCCATCCAAGGCTATAGAACCCATTGTGTCCTGCTATTTACCCATAGCCGGAGGGAAAAAGAAGAGAATTAATACCTTTACCAAGGGTATTAGCACGTAAGTGAATGTAATGGATTTGACTGGAATTCGAACTCGGCTCTCCGATTCCTCGGCTACCCATTATCTACTCCCCTCCTCTCTCTCTCTCTCTAAATAACTAAAAATGCAAGGATATATCCAACAGATTCTTTTCTGGCTCACAGAAAATCCTCAGTTCTTGATAACGACAAAGATGTTCGAAAGTACTTGATAAAAAAACAGCACAAAAAGGCCTACGACAATGAACGCCACAAGGATCTACTGGAACTGCTCGGTAACCGCGATATATTCGGGAAATATATCTGAATAATCAAGAACCTATACTGGCAGCAAACAGCATGCATGCGCATAGGGAACGAGTTCAGTGAATACACAAATATAGAAAGGGGCGTAAGGCAAGGATGCGTCTTCTCACCCGACCTGTTCAACCTATAAAGAGAGGCAATTCTGAGAGAATTGGAAACCCTACCAGGATTTAGCATTGGCGGCTACAATCTTAACAACATAAGATACGCAGATGACACAGTACTGATAGCAGCCAGGGAAATGAAATTACAAAATCTCGTACAGAAGGTATCGACGGAGAGTGAGAAGAAAGGACAAAGCATAAACTACAAGAAGACAGAATGCATGGTCCTCAGTAAGAGGATGAGCCCAAAATGCGATTTGCAGGTCGGGAACACTAGAATCGAGCAGACGTGGAAGTTTAAATATCCGGGAAGCGTCTTGAAAGAGGACAGTAAGTGCGATACTGAGATCTCTAGGCATATTGTGATGGCCAAGGACACATTCCAAATGTTGGGCAGAGTACTGCAAGACAGGAGGATTTCTTGGGTAACGAAGAAAAGAATACTGAGCTGTTACGTGACATCTGTCCTTCTTTATGGCAGCCAATTTTGGACGATTTCTTCAAAGGTGACGAAAAGACTCGAGGCGACGAAGATGTCGTTTTACAGAAGGATGCTAAGGATATCATGGACCGAGCGTGTGGACAAGATGAGGTTACAAACAAGGACGAGGCTTATACTTAATATCAGGAAAATCAGCTGAAGTTTCTGGGACACATAATGACGAAGGAGGGTCTGGAGAATCTGATACTCACGGGTCGAATAAATGGAAAGAGAGAAAACATGACATAACAGACTTAAGCAAGTGGATGACAGAACGTGGTTTGAGGAGGAAGCAGAGGGAAGGAACTTGTTGAGAGCTGCAATGGATAGAAGGAGGTGGAGAGCCATGATCGCCTACGTCCTGAAAGAACATGGCACATAAAAAGAAAGAAGTACAACAAATGTGTGTGTGTGTGTGTGTGTGTGTGTGTGTGTGTGTGTGTGTGTGTGTGTGTGTGTGTGTGTGAGTGAAAGAGATGGAAAGTATTTTTGTTATAGTATGTATTTATTCGCTTTCTTATTTTCTCAGACGTCCTAAGATTAATCTGTGTCATTATTTCAAACTGGTCGCCCAATTGACCTTTACTAATATTAGCTTAGCCAGTATCGAGAAAGATTTGGATAATTCACTGCATTCGTGCAACTATTCGTTTTACTGGCTAGGTAAGCCCAGAAGGAAAATTTATGAACGAACATTATACCCAATATCTCCAAAATTTTCTGATTTCATCTGCATGCTCTCTTATTGCGCAAAAAAATCCAGGTCTCTGGGAATGAACAACTGGCTCTTCCTTGGCCAGTTACGCTTTGAGAAGTCTTTTCTCCAAAGTAAGTAAAAGGTAAATGGCGCAGTGACTCAAATCCGAGGATGCCAGTCTACGAGGGCGGCTAGCAGATGCCTGCCCAGGTTTATTTGTATTTGTTCAACACCCACAGTTGTTTATACTGCAACTATGCCGAGCAGACTATTGTTACAGTTGCTAGCGAGAGAGAGCGTTATCTAGCATGATCAGCAGCCTGAACGAGGCTAGTACGTTCAAAACCTCGGTCACGATGACTTGTGACTTCGTGCTAGCACAGTTACAGAAGGTTCCGTCCATCCAATTTCACTCACAAGGTTTGCGTTCAATTGTGGTATGGTTTTCAGGCACTTTTCAGTATGCGGATGGTATCACCTTCTCCAAACCGATAACATCAAGAAGGCACCTTCCTGAAATAAAATGATTATATATATATATATATATATATATATATATATTGAATAAAAACAGACCACTTTAAGGTTCCATGTAATAAATTATTTCACCACAGCCCTTTTAAAGGACTGCGGATCATCAGACTTTACTTCCAAAGGTTGAAACGAAAAATCTCTCTCTCTATATATATATATTAAGACTTTGTCCATTTCATAATACATATATATATATATATATATATATATATATATATATATATATATACGTGGTCTGATCAAAAAGTAACGAAAAATCTCTATCTATCTATATATATATTAAGACTTTGTCCATTTCATAATATATATATATATATATATATATATATATATATACGTGGTCTGATCAAAAAGTAACGGGACTGTTATTATGGTAACGGAGCTAAAGTACACAGAATGAAGCCGCTTCGCACAGTTTACCCATGAACTCTGTCGCGCATGCGCAATAAGTTTTTAACGTTCTTATTCACCTCAGTTTTCTATAGCAAAGTGTGGAAGCAAAGTTTGTAGAATCTGGTCGTCTCATCACACCACAGAGGTCCCATCAGTGGCCATGACTTGCACAGCAGTTTTTAGCCAAGGAAACTTTAGCCAGGTCCGGCAACCACCCTATTAATCCTCAGATCTCACCCTTTGTCCACTCACCGTCAAGAAATCGCAGAACAAAAGGAATACATTTTGAAATTCCGAAAAACACCAAAAAAAAATGTTTCTATTGATGTTGTTTTCCCTGTTATTAGTTGACTTTTTAACTTTCTTGTTAGTAGCTTTATAGTACATATTAGTACCGACTTTGTAATGGTGACCCGTCTTATCTATTTTGATGATGATTTTGTCGTCTTTTTTTTATCATAGCAACGTCCTTTAGTATATATATATATATTTTTTTGCCGTAGATTGTTGGTAGTCCAAGCTAATCAATTCCATATTCCGGTGATTGTTAGGATACAAAGTATAAATATTTTATAACACCTGGTTAACAGAAACTCAGTTTTTAACAGATATCAGGCTACACGATTTCATAGACGACATGGATGTTCGTAATTCCGGTGCGGACATTTCCTTAGACGGCGTGGCTGTCCGTAATTTCGGTGCGAACATTCGATTGGAAAAGGTCCTAATAGACTCATTGAATGGCTGCTCATACCTTAACAAAATACATAAAAACTTTTTTTATAAGCGCTGCTTACACTTTTCGAAAGGCTTTCTCCATGCAAAATACAACGGAAATCAAAGGAAATATTATTGATAATTATTATTATTATTATAACAACAACAACAACAATAATAATGATAATAATAATAATAATAATAATAATAATAATAATAATAATGGTTACGTAGTGTGGGGTTAAGAGATCTTATTCTTGCTGCTCAGGACCAATGCTTGCTACCTAGAAATTACCAAGCACTCATACCGAAAAAAATGTAACTTGAAATGCTGATTCTGTGATAAATATCCAGAAACTAGTGACCATCTTGTATCAGGTTGCATGGTGTTAACACCGAGTGAATATAAACCTTGTCATGATATAAGTGGGTCAATGTCTGCACCGGGAAATATGCAATTTTTACGGGAAGGAAACTGCAAGAAATTGGTATGCATATCACCTTGATCCGCTTAGAAAGATAGGACCTGTTACAATTTTATGGGACTTTACAACGCACACAGACAAAACAATCAAAGCCAATCGCCCAGACATCGTGATCAAAGACCACAAGAACAGAATGTGACATGGCAGTTCCAGCAGATTGTAATGCATCTTTGAAAATCTTTTTTAAAAATATTAAAATACAAGGATATTGAAGTGAAAATATCAAAAAAATGTGGCACATGAGAACATCAATAATTCTAGTTGTAATGTGCCTGAGCAGGCGTCCGCAACAGTGTGTGGCTAGCCGCCCTAGTAGACAGGCATACGCTTATACGATCAGTCAGCCACAATTATAGGGGGGGAGAGGTTGCTAAACTTGCGGCCAACATGTTTTGAATTCCGTATTATCCTCCGCCGAGACTGGAATAAGAGACAAATTCCTACCATTACAAAATTGTGTGTCAGAAAATGAACGTTGGCTGGAATTTGAATTTTTCATAACAAACCTACTTTCAGCGTGCCCTCGAAATAGGTATGAATCTAACTTTTCTCCCCACACCCCAGCTAAGACTTAATTTGTAGGAGTTATATTAGCAATATCATTATCTCACCAAAATCCATACAATCTAAAAATATTTTCAGGCATTAAATAGCCTGCAAGTAAAGTCCTGGGTATGACGATAAACTACATCCGGCAGCAAGGCCTCTGATCAGGAAGTTTTGAGGAGCGTGCTGGTGTTCCCGTGTCCACCCTGAGCCGGGGTGGTAGCACCTGGTAGAGTCCCAGCTATCGGCAAATAGTTTTCCCCAAAACTGGGATCAGAAAGTGTAAAAATAGATTTTTTTTAAAAGTAAAAATAACAGAAATACATTTTAAAAAAAAAAATCAATTATTAACAACAAAACTTAAAAAAAAAAAAAATTGCCAGCAGTGCATTTTGGGAAAAAGAAAAAAATTATTACCCGAAATTCATTTTTGAAAAATAAATCAGTTATTACCTGCAAAAGATTTTTGAAAAAAAAAATTATTACCAGCAATACATTTTTGAAAAAATTATTACCAGTAATACATTTTTAAATACAATTATTACAAGCAATACATTTTGGAAAAACAAAAATTATTACCAGCAAAACATTTTTGAAAAAAAATATATTACCAGCAATAAAATCTTGTCGT